AATCAGGGTTAAGTCAGGGTTAAATCAGGGTTAAATCAGGGTTAAGTCAGTGGTTAAATCAGGGTTAAGTCAGAGTTAAATCAGTGTTGAATCAGGGTTAAGTTAGTGGTTAAATCAGGGTTAAGTCAGGGTTAAATCAGGGTTAAGTCAGAGTTAAATCAGTGTTAAATCAGGGTTAAGTTAGTGGTTAAATCAGGGTTAAGTCAGGGTTAAATCAGGGTTAAGTCAGAGTTAAATCAGTGTTAAATCAGGGTTAAGTCAGTGGTTAAATCAGGGTTAAGTCAGGGTTAAATCAGGGTTAAGTCAGGGGTTAGTCAGTGTTAAGTCAGGGTTAAATCAGGGTTAAGTCAGGGTTAAATCAGGGTTAAGTCAGAGTTAAATCAGGGTTAAGTTATATTTAAATCAGGGTTAAGTCAGGGTTAAATCAGGGTTAAGTCAGGGTTAAATCAGGGTTAAATCAGGGTTAAGTCAGGGTTAAATCAGAGTTAAATCAGAGTTAAATCAGAGTTAAATCAGGGTTAAGTCAGGGTTAAATCAGGGTTAAGTCAGAGTTAAATCAGGGTTAAGTCAGGGTTAAATCAGGGTTAAGTCAGGGTTAATGCAGGGTTAAGTCAGGGTTAAATCAGGGTTAAGTCAGTGGTTAAATCAGGGTTAAGTCAGGGTTAAATCAGGGTTAAGTCAGAGTTAAATCAGGGTTAAGTCATTGGTTAAATCATGTTAAGTCAGGGTTAAGTCAGAGTTAAGTCAGGGTTAAATCAGGGTTAAGTCAGGGTTAAATCAGGGTTAAGTCAGGGTTAAATCAGGGTTAAGTCAGGGTTAAATCAGAGTTAAATCAGGGTTAAGTCAGGGTTAAATCAGAGTTAAATCAGGGTTAAGTCAGGGTTAAATCAGAGTTAAATCAGGGTTAAGTCAGAGTTAAGACAGGGTTAAATCAGGGTTAAGTCAGTGGTTAAATCAGGTTAAGTCAGGGTTAAATCAGGGTTAAATCAGGGTTAAGTCAGGGTTAAATCAGGGTTAAATCAGTGGTTAGTTACAGTTGTTTGTTAGGTTTAGGAATCTCATTTTCTTCATTTCTAACCCTCCTTCATTTATTACTCAATCTGAATAATTCAGAAGAAAATATTATTTTCTGTAAGGATCTATTAATCCAGAAGAAGCAGGTGGATCTGCTGCTTCGGCTGTTTTAAATCAGCCGACAAACAGCTTGATGGGAAACGTTTCAAACGAAGAACATGTGCCATTGATCTGCGCTCTGAGAGCTGGTTTCAGAGACGGCCAACAGGTCGAGCTCAGGACCGCGGCCGAGGCTCTCGGGTTTCAGGCAGCTTTTAAAGATCGATACGGAAGCCTGCAGGGGACAATTATTTGAAGTGATGGATGCCAAAGCAAACTGGAAATGAAGATATAGATGGTGCATTAACAAAACCTGCTGGTCCTCACAAAACCCTTTACTGTAACCTTTGGCAGGAAGGAAACTGGACTTCCTCCTCCTCCTCCTCATCATCACCATCATCATCATCATCATCATCATCATCATCAGGGAACACCTCCAGACAAACTCACAGGTGGGTGTTACCATGGTTACACAACGTCAAGCTGGAACAACATCAGCAATGGTTGAGTCAACGCCTGAAGGGTCATTTAGAGGACATCTGAAGGAGAACCAGGACTTCTGGACCAGAACGACCAAACTGGGTCCAACAGAACCCACGGATCCTTAGATGTGTTTTGTGTGTGTGTGTGTGTGTGTGGTACATACTGAGCTGCCTCTGACTGTATGTGTTTGTGTCTACAATTACTAATGTCAGTTAGAACCACAGCGCCAACATGACGTTGTCCACTCAATTTAGGAGGCAGCAATCATCACTGCAGCAACACACACAGCTACACACCAAGATACACAACACACACAGCTACACACCAAGATACACAACACACACAGCTACACACCAAGATACACAACACACACAGCTACACACCAACGTACACACAACCTTGTATTTGCATCAAACTGAGGACTTTGTATTGACTTCCATTCATTTTTGTGACTGTATTTARGTCCAGTGGTGGGCACCAGTCCCCTAAAGAGCAAATCCGTTAATTGTGGACCTACGTGTCTCCTTTGCACTTTAGTGTTTTTACATCGCCCCTCGTCCAGAGGTCTGCAGGTGGGAAGGGTGGCTCTTCATTGTCAGTCCATGGCGCCATAAAAAACAGGTGAGCAAAATTACTTTGCGTTTCCTTGGAAACGTAGATGCAGACTGTGTGATGGGCTGTTTTTTTCTGCCAGACAGATCTTCGGTGTCGGGTTCGGTTGGCCCGTTAGCTTTTTTTTCTGAGCTAGCTACAGTTAGCTTAGCAAACTAACACGTGTACTGATAAGCCATAGTCAAAACAAAACGGCTTTATTGAATGGTAGCTTGACAAACGGTTCAGTGGTAACGATTGTGAGATTTGACCATACAACACGTTGTTGGCCCGTTTAAACATTAAAATATGTGTTTTAATACTTATTTTAATGCTTGGTTTAATACGTGTTTTGACATTTAGGTACGTACTTTCTTGAGCTCAATTTCTAAATCCTGGATAGGTTTCTTTGAAAGCTTGCTTGCGACGTTAGGTTTAATTCAAATATTTTCAAGGGTGGTTGGAACCTGGGCTAGTGTGGACATTACTGTGCAAGGTGTGGAAAAATCCATTAGAAATATTTGGGGCTCGTTGGTTAGGGGTCCATACTGTAAATCCTTCTGTTGATCGTTAGTGACAGGTTAGGCGTACTAAACTAGGGAAAAATCCAGAGCCAAAATCTTTCTGTCTGTTTGTGTGTCTGTTTGTGTGTCTGTTTGTGTGTCTGTTTGTGTGTCTGTCTGTGTGTCTGTCTGTCTGTCTGTTTGTGTGTCTGTTTGTGTGTCTGTTTGTGTGTCTGTTTGTGTGTCTGTTTGTGGGGACTGTTAATAGGGTAGTCTGCGTGACGGGCGTCACCTACTGGGCATTGTGCCGAATTACTTTTACTGTGGTTCACGTGTAAATATTTTTCCTACAACACTGTGCTGTCAATGTGTTGAGTCAAACCTCCACCTGAGTTTTTAATGTTTGTTTTATCAAAGTAAATCCCTCCTCAGAGCTCAGTCCATGGAAATAAAAAGATCAGAAGATATAAAACCACAGCTGGAACCCACAGGAACCAAGCGAGCTCCTCACCTTCGTCTTCAGTGAAGTCCTTGATGGAGGCCCAGGTCTTGTTGTTGCAGTAGAAGGACGTGTTGGACGGCAGGCTGCCGTTGATGCAGTGCTCCGTGCTGCGGACGCATTTCTGCCGCAGGTTTCCCATGAAGAGCTGCAGACCGATGAGGGCGAAGACGCTCAGGCAGAACACCGTGAGGATCATCACGTCAGCCAGCTTCTTTACCGACTGGATCAGAGCGCCCACGATGGTCTTCAGGCCTGAAGGACGACCGGCGGTCAGAGAACTCCAACAATAAACATGGACAAAACTGTTGGTCCCCCTCGTTTAATGAAAGATAAACCCACAGTGTTCCCAGAAATAACTAGAATCTGACAAAAGTAATAATAAACATACTATAAAAATGAACAAATGAAACTCAGACGTTGTTTTTCAGCCATGATTTAAAAGAATTATTTAAAAATCAAACTCCTGAATCAGACCTGGACAGAAATGATGGGATCTTAACTTCATATTTAGTTYAAGCTTTGAGTCAATCAGTCAATCCAGTGATTCCTGTAACTGTCAGTCAGACTTCTGCAGCTCTCAGCAGGTATTTTGTTCCACTCCTCATGAACAAACGGCTCCAGGTGTCTCAGGTTTGATGTTTTTCAGCTCCTTCCAAAGATGTTCAACAGGACTCAGGTCAGGATCAGAGAAGACCACTTCAGAATAGTCCAATGTTTTGGCTCATTATCCTGTTGAAGACCCATGAGCTGCTGAGACCAAGCTTTCTGACACTGGACAGCACATTTCTCTCTAGAATCCTTGATAGTCTTGAGATTAAGACCCCCTGTGCCAGATGCAGCAAAGCAGCCCCAGACCATAACATACCTCCTCCATGTTTCACAGTAGGACAGTGTTCTCTTCTTCATAWGCTTCATTTCTCCCTCTGTCAACATAGAGCTGATGTTTCTTGCCACAAAGTTTCATTTTTGTCCCATCTGTCCAGAGGACATCGTCCCAGAAGCTTTGTCTTGTCAACATGTAGTTTAGTCTTTTTATGATTTGGTGTCCTCCTTGGTCGTCTCCCATTAAGTCCACTTTGACTCAAACAAGGACGAATGGTGTGATCGGACACTGATGTTCCTTGAGCTTGAAGTTCACCTTTAATCTCTTTAGAAGTTTTTCTGGGCTCTTTTGTTACCATTCATATTATCCATCTCTTTGATTTGTCATCAGTTTTCCTCCTCAGGCCACGTCCATGGAGGTTGGCTACAGTCCCATGGTTCTTACATTTCTGAATCATATGAGCAACTCACAGGAACATCAAGCTGCTTGGAGATGGTCTTATAACCTTAACCTTTAACATGTTTGTTTATAATTATCTTTCTAATCTCCTAAAACAACTCTTACCTTGTCTTCCTCTGGTCCATGTTGAGTATGGTCCACACCATGTCACCAAACAGCACACTGAGTATCTGTAGGCCTGTATACAGGCCCACTGACTGATTACAAGACTGTAGACACCTGTGATAATTAGTGGACACACCTTGATTTAACAAGTCACTTTGGTCACATCATTTTCAGGGGTTCCATCAATTCTGTCCAGATCTGTTTCATGAGTTTTATTTAAAAAAAATATCTGTTGAATCATGGCTGAAAAGCAATGTCTGACTTTCATTTGTTCATTTTCATAGATTTTTTTATTTATTATTACTTTTGTCAGATTCCAGTTATTTCTGTGACCTTTGTGGGTTTTTCTTTCATTAAACAAGGGGACCAACAGTTTTGTCCACGTGTGTATGATTTATTAAAACTAGGATTTGTTCAAGTCAAACAAGTCTTATTGAATATAAACAGTAAACAGTAAAACTACAAGACACACAGTAAAACTATAAGACCACATTAAAACTACAAGATGCATAGTAAAAATACAAGACACAGTAAAAATACAAGACCCACAGTAAAACTATAAGACCTCAGTAAAACTACATGACACACAGTAAAACTACAAGACACACAGTAAAAATATAAGACACAGAGTAAAACTATAAGACAACAGTAAAACTATGAGACACACAGTAAAACTACAAGACACAGAGTAAAACTATAAGACCACAGTAAAACTATGAGACACACAGTAAAACTACAAGACACAGTAAAACTATAAGATCGCAGTAAAACTATGAGACACACAGTAAAACTACAAGACACAGTAAAACTATAAGATCGCAGTAAAACTACAAGACACACAGTAAAAATACAAGACAAACAGTAAAATTGTAAGACCACAGTAAAACTATGAGATGCACAGTAAAACTACAAGACAGAGTAAAACTATAAGATCGCAGTAAAACTACAAGACACACAGTAAAAATACTATACAAGACACAGAGTAAAACTATAAGACTGCAGTAAAACTACAAGACACAGTAAAAATACAAGACAAACAGTAAAACTATAAGACCACAGTAAAAATACAAGACACACAGTAAAAATACTACACAAGACACAGAGTAAAACTATAAGACCACAGTAAAACTATAAGACTGCAGTAAAACTACAAGACACAGTAAAAATACAAGACAAACAGTAAAACTATAAGACCACAGTAAATCTACAAGACACACAGTAAATCTACAAGACACACAGTAAAACTACAAGACACTCAGTAAAACTACAAGACACACAGTAAAATTATGGCACACAGTAAAACTATGAAACAGACAGTAAAACCACGACACACACGGTAAAACCAGCAGGGTGTAGAACACAGAGGGTGCAGACCAGCTGACCAAATGTCACCAAATTAAAGAAACATCCAGTTTCTTTGGAGTCGTTTGAAGATTTGAAAACATTTATTGGTCCAGTTTATTCATTAGAAACAGACTGGATCAGAACTGTCTGTAAACTAATGAATGACTGCACATTGAAATATAAACTACATACAGAACAGCTTCACTGTTAGCTGTTAGCCATTAGCGCTGCATGCTAATGAGTCAACAAACAGAGGCCAACATCTGGATCATATTAATTTGAGTCACGGAGGAAGAAATGGACAGAAATATATTTATTTTAAGTTTATCTGAACTACTTTTCCATAGATAATTATTAAACTTCACAGTTCCATTTTACTATATTTTAAGAAGGTGAATAAATTGCATCTCCTCGCAGTTTTTTCGCATGTTTTTTAACTCTATTGAATTATTATTACAGCTACAGAAACATCAGACATAAAATTTTATCCAGAACAGATGAGTAGAAAGAAATATAAAAGAAGTAAAAGCAAAAACAGAGTAGAAAGATAAAATCTAGAAGAATGATGACTTAAATTGTTTTTGACATTTACCATTAAAATTGTTTTTTTTAGATCAGATCTGACATAATAGCTCCAAATACCATTTATGTTTTTATCTTTGATTTTTGTTGCATTATATATTATTTGAAACTTTTCTCTTCTTCCTCTGGTCTCTTTGATAAACTCTGACTAAAGTTAATATTTTGTTTGTTACGCCTCTGTTGTCCACTCAGCTCTCCATTCTGCATACTACCTCTGAGATAAATCTTCATAAATGTTCATCAATGGTCATAAATGTTCATCAATGAGGAGAAATATTCATCAATGTACATCAATGGTGATAAATGTTCATCAATAGTGATAAATGTTCATCAATGGTCATAAATGTTCATCAGTGGTGGTAAATGTTCATCAGTGGTCATAAATGTTCATCAATGGTCATAAATGTTCTCAATGGTCATACAGTAAATGTTCATCAATGGTCATAAATGTTCATCAATGGTCATAAATGTTCATCACTGGTGATAAATGTTCATCACTGGTGATAAATGTGATAAATGGTGAATTTTCCTGTCCAGTGATAAAACAAATCAGAAGGTAGTATGCTGAATGAGATCCGAAACACTTGGTGCTTCCTGCAGACTCAGGAGGGCTTTCCTCCCTCATCTTCCTCACCTGGGATGACTGAGATGGTTTTGAGCGCTCGCAGCACCCTGAACGTCCTTAAGGCTGACACATTACCCAGGTCCACAAATTCAGTGACATATCTGCAACAAGCAGGGAGACAGAAGCACAAAAACACACAGACACAAGGATGTGACCAAGACGGAAAAATGAGCCCACACAGGGGGGTCAGAGAGCGGGGTCCTGACAGAGAGGGAGGTCCAGAGAGAGAGAGAGAGGTCCTGACAGAGAGGGAGGTCTTGACAGAGATGGAGGTCCAGAGAGAGGAAGGTCCTGACAGAGAGGGAGGCCCAGAGAGAGAGAGAGAGAGGTCTTGACAGAGAGGGAGGTCCTGACAGAGAGGGAGGTCCTGACAGAGAGGGAGGTCTTGACAGAGATGGAGGTCCAGAGAGAGGAAGGTCCTGACAGAGAGGGAGGCCCAGAGAGAGAGAGAGAGAGGTCTTGACAGAGAGGGTGGTCCTGACAGAGAGGGAGGTCCTGACAGAGAGGGAGGTCCAGAGAGAAGAAGGTCCTGACAGAGAGGGAGGTCCAGAGAGAGAGAGAGAGAGGTCTTGACAGAGAGGGTGGTCCTGACAGAGAGGGAGGTCCAGAGAGAGAGAGAGAGAGAGAGAGAGAGAGAGAGAGGTCCTGACAGAGAGGGAGGTCCTGACAGAGAGGGAGGTCCTGACAGAGAGGGAGGTCTTGACAGAGATGGAGGTCCAGAGAGAGGAAGGTCCTGACAGAGAGGGAGGTCTTGACAGAGATGGAAGTCCTGACAGAGAGGGAGGTCCTGACAGAGAGGGAGGTCCAGAGGAAGGACCAGCAGAAACGAGCCGGGATGGACAGGACCTGTAGAAGCTCTGGTACACAGAAGGTGAAACCAGATGTTCAAATCTTCACACGGAGGTAAAAACTGGAGAAAATACAACAGGGTCAGATCTTCAGGCTGTGAAGTCTGAGTTTCAGTTCACTGGATAATTCAGGTTTTATTTGGGATGCTGGGTCAGTGTTTGTCTGAGCAGAACCCAGAACACCCCAAACCTGAGAACCTTTAGAAGATAAATGTTCTCTTTCTTTTTAAAGACATGAAGAGATGTGCATTTAAATCTTTTTACCCAAACATTGGCTAACAATTTACTAATTAACACTTTTACCTACAACATTTGAGTTGATGYTACAGAAATAGGTTTAGGCCAGTTAAACCTTTGTGACTCCTCTCAGCTGGAGGAGTGGAGTTGCTGTAATTCTCCAGGTGACCACCAGGTGTTCTGACATCTGATTTTTCCTTCTGCTTCTTCAGGACAGATCAGGTGACCTTTGACCCCTGACAGGGCAGAGACTGGGAGGTTTGGGCAGGCGGACTGTGCTGCAGGACACGGCAGACACGGGACGAACAGTAGAGGACGCTAACGACAGCTTTACATTTGTTTATTTTTTCTCCCCGTGTCGCCCCCTGGTGGTGAGGCCTTACCTGGGATGACTGAGATCGTTTTCAGAGCTCTCAGCACTCTAAAGGTTCGCAGCGCCTGCAGGTTCCCTACTTTGATAAACTCTGTTAACAGCCTGTAGGGGGCAATYTAGAGGTTGTCAACACACAACAAAAGAAGACAAAGGTTAAAAAATGTCTGGAAATCCTGCGGCTGTCTACCAGACTGTGCAAAAGTCCAAATCCAGCCTTCATTTCTTTACATTTCTATGATTTATAAAGACGTTTYGCTGCTTGTTCTCTGAGCTTTCTGAGGGGCCTAGAGCATCTGAAAAGCACGGCAGAGGCGGTATCATGATGTGGTCCGATTCTAATCCACTAATGAATATGATTGAAAAAAAGTGTTTATTGAAAATGTGTTATTAATGTGTTGAAATGACACAAATTTTCCCTTATTTCTGAATGAATTGTTGCACTTCTTTTCATTTTTCTTGCAAAGCATAAAGAAATAAGTTTTGGCTCAAATCTTTTGCACAGTATCCAGAGAAAACCCAAACAAACACATGAAGAACATGTAAACTTCACACAGACTGAGCCCAGGTTCAACCRGGGACTCGAACCCAGAACCTTGTTTCTGTGAGGCTGCAGAGAAAACCACTAATCCACCCTGGTGCTTCAAAGTAGTGCATATTCTTAAATATAAGTAAATATTAAATAAAATTTCAACAAAGATAAAAAATTACAGATCTTTGTGAACAGTTTAAAATTAAAACCAAGATAATATTTTGTGAGTAAATCTATCAGCAGCCTTTAGTGTTTAAACTCATTTAAACAGTTTAAGTGAAAACAAAGAAATACTCTCATTTTTGGACCAGAACCATCTAACAAGGTGAAAGGAGACAAAGGACCCAGGCGTGGAGCCAAGCTGTGATTATCCTTCTTAGATCGAATCAAACTGGACCAAAAGAGGCAGAAAGGCGCCAGGTGACGGTGGCCTTTCGGGCCCCGGTTGAACCGAGTCACCTGATCCGGAGCTGCTAATGGATCTCCATTTTGGTTTTTATTTCAGCAGGTTTGACTGAAGAAGTGATTTAATTACAGCGGGGAGGGGAGAACAGAGCAGGTTTGTTTACGTGAACCAGACGCAGTGGCATGAGATTAAAGGACCAGTCCCAACGTTTCTACGCTGCTTCAAATAAACATGACAGACGGGAGCTCAACTTTAACGAGTTTGATGATGGCAGCTTTTATCCTGTCATTAACATGGGGGAAGACCTGGGGGAGGGGCTTGGTTACCATGGGGATCCCGACTCATTGGGAGGAAGAAGAGCATCAATCACACCTGTAATGTCCAGGAGTGTGTGAAGGACATTAGGGCTGTGCATTTCCCAGGTTATCACTCTGGGTTTAATCAAACTCGGACACGTAGGGGTGATGTGTCAGGGGCAGGGTGTGTGTGTGTGTGTGTGTGTGTGTGTGTGTGTCTGTGTGTATGAACATGTTAAAGGCGTGCTCTGCCTTACATGTGTGTGCTAAGTGCTGACTTATGTGTCCCTGTCCAGCTTCAGATCATTCTGAGTGCAGGACAGTCCTCAGTTCAAGGACACACGCTGTGTTTCTGAGGGGGTGAAACCAGGGATCAACATTTTGTCATGAAACAAAAGAGTAAATGGACAAATCCAGTTTGGTTGTTTCATCTGAATGAAGACAGAATATCAGCAAAAAATATAGAGAAACACTTTAGATAAAAGTTCTACATTGGTTTATTTAGTAAACTAAGTATTTGTTCCCCTAACAAACCCTGACTTAGTCCTTGGTATAGGAACCTTTGCTGGGAAGATATTTCTTGTGGTTGGTCACCAGATTTGAACATCTGAGGAGGGCTTTGGCCCTCTCCTCTTTACAGAAGCTATCTTGATCCCTCAGGTTTCTTAGTTTCAGTTTGTAAATTTGACGCTTTGGCTCTTCCTTGGATTTTCAACAGGACTCAGCTGCTCCATGGCCTTCATATACTTGTTTTTTAGCTGCTCCTTTGTTGTCTTGGTGGGGTGTTTTGGATTTTTGTCCCACAGGAAGACCCATCCACAACCAATTTTCAACCAATATTCTGTGTTCTAGCTGAGGGATTAAGGATCTTGTCCAAGATTTTATGGTAGATGASCCCATCCATTGGACCCTCAGCATAGGGAAGTCATTCTGTAGCCATAGCAGCTTTTTATTACAGTTGGTTGGTCAGTCAGTTGGTTGGATGGTTGGTTTGATTGTATGGTTGGATAGTTGATTGGGTAGTTGGTTTAAATGGTTAGATAGATGGTCAGTCAGTTGGACAGATGAATGGTTGACTGGTTTAATTGGATGGTCACTTGGATGGTTGGTTGAGTTGGACTGGTTGGTCAGTCAGTCAGTCAGTCAGTCAACTGGACTGTTGGAAATTGACTAGTTTGATTGGATGGTTGGTCGGGTCAGTTATTTGGATGGTTGGTTCGATTGGATGGATGGTTAGTTGGTTGGTCAGCTAGCTGGTTGGTTGGTCAGCTAGCTGGTTGGTTGAGTTGGGTTGGATGGTCAGTCAGTCAGTCAGTCAGTTGGACTACTGGACAGTTGACTAGTTTGATTGGATGGTTGGTCGGGTCAGTTGGTTGGATGGTTGATTTGATTGGATGGATAGTTAGTTGATTGGTCAGCTTTGGTTGGTGAGTTGGATGGATGGTTATTTGGTTGGTCAGCTAGATGGTTGATTGGTCAGTTGAATGGTTGGTTGGTCAAACTGTTTGGACGGTTAGTTGGTTGATCAGTCATTTAGTTGGACAGTTGACGGGTTTGATTGGATGGATGGTTGGTCAGATCAGTCAGGTGGATGGTTGAATGGTTGGTGTGATGGATGGTCAGGTCAGTTGGATGGTTGGTTGAATGGTTGGTTGGATGGATGGTTGGTCAATTGGTTGGATGGTTGGATGAGTCAGTCAGTTGGATGGTTGGCTGGATGGTTGGTTGGGTCAGTTGGTTGGATGGTTGGTCGGGTCAGTTGGTTGGATGGATAGTTGGAAGGTTGGTTGGTTGGTTGATTGGTTGGTTGGATGGTTGGATGGTTGGTTGGGGCAGTCAGTTGGATGGTTGGTTGGTTGGTTGTTGGTTGGTCAGTTGGTCATTTGGTTGGATGGTTGGTTGGGTCAGTCAGTTGGATGGTTGGTCGGGTCAGTTGGTTGGATGGATAGTTGGAAGGTTGGTTGGTTGGTTGGTAGGTTGGTTGGTTGGATGGTTGGTTTGATGGATGGTTGGTCAGTTGGTTAGATGGATAGTTGGTTGGTTGGTCGGTTGGTTGAATGGTTGGATGGTTGGTTGGGTCAGTCAGTTGGATGGTTGGTTGGTTGGTTGGCTGTTGGTTGGTTGGTCGGTTGGTCAATTGGTTGGATGGTTGGTCGGGTCAGTTGGTTGGATGGATAGTTGGCTGGTTGGTTGGTTGGTTGGATGGTTGGTCACTTGGTTGGATGGTTGGTCGGGTCAGTCAGTTGGTTGGTTGGTTGGTTGGTTTGATGGATGGTTGGTCAGGTCAGTCAGTTGGTTGGATGGTTGGATGGATGGATGGCTGGTTGGTCGGGTCAGTCAGTTGGTTGGATGGTTGAATGGATGGCTGGTTGGTTGGTTGTTTGGATGGATGCCTGACTGATCTATAGGAGGCAGAGTTTTGGCAGGCAGTTGGGGATGTAAACCTGTTTGTATCTTTTATTTGATGTGTTTTTAAAACAGAATTCAGTCGAATTAAACAGTTTATTATTCTGTATGTGAGGAAACGTGGAACCCTTCAGATAACTGAAGAATTAGTTCCTCCTGTAAAGTCGGCCTCAGAGGAACTGCAGACGTTCTTTTGTTTGATGTTTTAGTTTCTGCAGTCAGTCTTGATACACGTCACATCAACTGAGCTGAAAAATGTCTCCATTGACTGAACGGAGGTGAGCACACCTCAGTACACCTCAGGGTGACCTCTGAGCCGGGCCTGGGCTCAGATATGGATCCGATGGTTCTGATCGCTTCTCTTCTCAGCTGTGATCACAGCTGATCACTAATCACACTGAGCTAAATACAGACAGAGACAGGTTCATGTCCCTTTCCTTATGTCAGAGTTTGAGGCTGCAGCTCCACAACCAGTTTTTTTTCTGTTGGTTCTGATCCGACTGTCGGCTCTGATTCACATTGAAACGTCAGCGAATTTAGTTGGAGGGAAGTTTCTGCTTAACCTTAGCAAAGCTTTACAAACTGACCCAAGAGTCAAACTGACAAACTCGTGAGCTGAAGAAGCAGCTTTTCTGTTTAATTCTGACATTAATCCCATCAGAACAACAGCAGCTGCAGTTCTGCTGCTCTCACAACCAAAGAAAAGCAACCCGTTCAGTTTGGACCCGCTCTGTGCTGCAGCTCGTCTCAGATTAGAGCGAGTCCAAACCTGACGGCACGAATCTGAGACAAGCTTTCAGACTTACGCCATGACGATGACGCTGAAGTCCAGCCAGTTCCAGGGGTCCCTCAGGAAGGTGAAGGGGCCCACACAGAACCCTCTGGCCAGGATCTTAATGAGCGACTCGAAGGTGTAGATACCTGTGAAGGTGTACCTGCAGGGAGAGGGGGCGGGGTCAGAGGACGAGTTAGAGACGACAGCAGAGGATAAATATTCATAAAACTCTGCTGCAAACATCTTTCATTTTTTATTTTGTCCCAGAAACAAAGCAAATGAAGCGAATAAGAAGAGGCAGGCGGTCCCGTCTGAAAGCTTTCTGTTTGAACCTAACTCACACACAGAGCCGGCTCTTGGCATAGGTGAACTAGGCGGTCACCTAGAGCGCCATCTGCTGGAGGGGGCGCTGAACTGCAGAAGGAAAAAGTAATTATTTGTAATCCCTGGTTGTAACTCTGCTCAGCGCCC